CTATTTGTAATATTATTACTAATTTAATTAAATAATTATTATAACATAATTATATTATAGTAGTTCAGGTAAGTCAAAAACGAAGAAAAATTTCTTTAGACTATTTATTTCTTTTTCTTTACTAGTACCATGAATGATGTCATAAACAAGAAGACAACCCGTCTTAATGTAGAAACGTTTTCGGCAATTCAAACAGTTAAATTTGATTTGCGTTCAAAGAAAAGCAACTCTATAACTCAATACCATCGTCAAAACTTTTTAAAGTCGCCAATTAATAAGAAATTATGCGAAAAAATGATACTTTCGAAAAGTGTATACGAAAAGAGACTTGCAATGGTACGACTGGACAGAAAACGAAATAACGATGCAATAAATTTTGAACCACCGACAAACATCTGAGAAAAGTTTCAGTCCATAAGCGAAGTGATTTACTTAAAAAAAAAGTTTTAAAACAATAAAAAAGAAATCTCTTTGCTAATAGCTAAAAGAGCTATTTAAAAAGCGTAAATTTACAATTTTTTTAAAAAAGAGAAGAGTTTGACACGCATCGCTAATTTTATTTTAAAAGTAGGAGATCATTCGCTCTTTTGCGCTGGAATTTTAATTAAAATTTATAAAAATGCTTATTAATTTTTGATTTACTCTGCGAGGGAAATCTTTTAATCTTTTTTGCTTTGTTAACTAAATATAGCGTTCCGTAATTTATGGACAACAAATTTACTGTTTATATATACTTGTTACTGTTTCATTTGATGACAGTAATAAACAGAAAAAAATTTATAAATTGTATTTTTGAAAACAATTTAATTATCCGGAAAATACAAAAAACTTAAAAAATATCCGGAATTCCGGAAATATCCGGAAAAAGATAATTCCTGATTGTAGGCTACCAACACGTTTCTGTACATGTCCAACACACTCCAACTTACACACTGTTATACCAGGATAAGTATCTTTAACATACGAATAGCTTTTACAATTACCGTCACCATAATACTTTACATACCTCATTTTATTTTGTGAAATAGAACGGCTAAATATTCTTTGAGCACCAGTTACTTCCATTCCAGGAGCAGAGCCACGATAATTTAGTTTACATACATGTGATGATTTCCAAGCCTTAAAGGCATTTCAGTTATTTTCTTTAAGTTTTAGTTTTAAACTACATGCTTTACATGATCGACTCATTGGTTCACAATCAAGAATTTTACCTGTGTCCATTGATATAGCAGTAACCACTCCATTTAATGAGGAAAATCCACGACGTTGCCAGCTACCATCAACTGATACTGCAGTATCAACAATATTTGAAGAAGATTGACAAATATCTTTAACAGCGTCAGACATTGTTTCTTTTGCAACAACTTTAGCACTTTTTTTAGGAAAACATTCTTCAAGAAATAATCCAGATTGTAAACAATTTTTGCAACATAATTGACTTATTACACCAGATAAAATTTCAATGTCAATAATACAATAACCAACAGTTTTATTATTACTTTGATGTGGTGTTTCAATTTTTTCAACTTTTTTCGAGGATATAGATAAATCTAATGAACTATTATTGAAAATAAGGCCATTTTCAGAACAGGCAACATTGTTATTAACAGGAGCTACTGATAAAGTTGAATTGTTTGTCAAATTTTTGGTATACCTATTTCCATAAAATCTTCTGGATTTTTTACTTTGAGTACTTTGTTTAACTCTGCATAATTTACCCATTATTGAAAAAGTTTATTAAATAACACAAAAATAACTGGCAGTTCTAAAAATAGCTGGCAATTCTTATAAAAAAATCCGTTGCTATGCGTGTTGCTAAGCAGATCAAATTTACCCAGTTGAAGGAAACCTTTTATATCTAAAAAACTAAGCCTTATTTTTAAAAAATATTTTCAAATTCGGATTCAGCGATAAATTTCGTGTAAGAAATACACAAATTATTTTTTTTGAATTTTTTAGGAATTTTGAGGGGTCTTATACCTTAATATTACGCATTATAATGCAAAATATTATAAAAATATTTAAAATTTAAATTATTATGAAAATATTATGACACTACCAAAAATATACTAAACAGGTGCACTTTTGGATACATAAGTTGTGCTAAGTTCGATCGATATAATGTACTCTGGTTCAATACCATTGTCATATTACCAATTATTTTGTAATAGTTTATTTTATACATGAGATTTAAGTTGCTGTTAGTAATTATTTCAACCAAAATTATTGCGTTTTAATAATTATAATATATTATAATTAAAACCATATTTTGTCTCAAAAATTTATTTACGTAATGTTAATATAATTATTAAAGACATCATTATATTAATAGTTATTCATAAAGGCTTTAAATGAGTTTAATGTGACACATTAAAAGGTTCTCAGAAAACCTTATTTGTACGCAACTATACAATAATATTATTAGTTAAAGAAAAGGCTGTTGATTAATTGGTTTGTTGATAAAAGGAATCGTTGCATGTTGAAATTGTAAAGCTTTTTTACATTGCAGCATAATACCACGAAATACCACTCGTATTTAAATCAATTTAAAATTAAATCGTGTTTTTTTGTTTAATAAATTTTTTGATGAATAATATTTTTTATAACACCGTTATTTTTATATGTTTAAAAAAAAAATTATTCAAAACACCCTGTTTTAGAAAGTTACATTAGAAAAAATTTTCTCTGTAAGTAAATTTAAACGCCCTTTGGTGTTTTAGCTACTTACATATTAATTTTTCTGGTAGTGGAAGTTGGGGTACAGTAGATCGAGGGGCACAGTGAATAAGAGTCATTTTCTCAAAGATTAGAATTTCATTCATCTTAGCAATGTAATCATTTTATGTGCCTTATATTTCAGCCGTCTTTATTTATAGTAGTTACTACAAAGTATTTGACTACCGGTTTTTAGTAGGTAATTTTTGTTTTTAGCTAACTATAGTAAATTTTCTTACCTTCCTTATGTTTATTAAGGAAATTATGGTTAAAATAATTTTAAAAGTTGAAGTTTTTCATTCGGATTATTGATATTTTCTTTTAGTAGTTTAGCTTTTCTTTTAACAACACTCATGTTCCAATAAATTAGACTTAAACTAAATTTGTTATGAAAGGACACAGTGAATCGGGGAACAGTGAATAGGTTGGTTCGCTAATGTCCAATTAATGATCTTAAAGTAGGAAGTTTAGTCACGTGATTTTTTATCGCGGAAAAAAACTTTCGGTTTGATATTGAAAAACTTCGTCCAAAATACGAAAGAAATGATTTTATGTAGGTGTCGAAGAATAAAAACCCACCCATAAAAATTAATTATATACATATATATGTTGATGTATTATTTTTCAGAAAATAACGTAAAACATTTATTTATATGATTCCGACAGTTTTCTCTTGAATATAAAAAGTTATTCTCTTTTAAATGATTCAATTTTGTGTAAATACCAGTAAATTAAAATAGTTCATCTGGAATCACGTGAAAATAGGTTCTGCAGCTATTTATTTGTTATGTACATAACTATTTGATTTAAAAAAAAAAAAAGTTTATATAGGGTGGGTTTTTTGTTTTCTTTAAATTGATTTTTAGAAATACCCCGTTTTATTAAGCGCACTGCGCTTAGCAAAGTGATAACTTTCTGCGGATTTCTTCGTTACTCTACCATTCAATCTGCTTAATGTTATTTTCCGTGAAAATTCACGGAAAATAAGAAGCAATTTTGGCTATCTTCCGTGAAAATTCACGGAACTTAATATGGAGGTGTTTTCGCTATTTTCCGTGAAAATTCACAGAAGTTAAGAAGTGATTTTGGCGTATCATATACATGACGAATTTTTGATATTTTATGCGGAAAGTAACAAAACTTAATACAATAAGTATTGGCAGTTTGCAACAAATTTCATATGATTTTGGCTGTATTTTTTGAAAACTTACAAATTTTTTAAAAGCATTTTGGCAGTGTTTACAAAAAAATGCCAAATGTCGAATATAGATTAAAAATAAATATCTCTTGTTACAATGTAAATCGCAATTGATGAGGTAATATTAAGTTTATTTTTATTAAATTTGGAGCAGTTTCATTCACGCTTTTTAATTTATTCAGGACATTTTTTAGTCATCTCTAAGGGTAGATGGTATATAGTAATCGCGACAATTTAAGAGGTAAGCAAATATTGCAAGTGTGTTCACGGAGAAATAAATATATTGTAAAGAACGTGGTAGTAATATTGTTAGGTTTAAATGTACTAAATTCTTTAAATGCACATTTGTGGTGTAAAAATGTGTATGCAGAGAAGGATCCCCATGAAATTGGGAGAAAGTTTAACTACTTAGGTAGAGCAAATGAGCATAAATGTGTATTTAAGTATCTCTATATAAAACACGGTCGACAATCCCTGGCTTTTTAATATGGAGAAGAAAAAAAACTTCCTTAATAAAAGGAAGAGTTTTGCTAATAGGTACTTATAAAGGCTTGCTTGGAAAAGCTCTAACTTAAAGTCGAACGATGAGGTAATATTAAGTTTATTTTTTATTAATTTTTGAGCATTTTCAATATCCTAAAAACAATGATTGACAATCTCATATTGAAATAATTAAAATAATAAGCGTTTATAATGTATACTAAATACATTATAACCATTCCAATAATAAAATAGAAATAAAACATTATGTCACAGAGCTTAGCTAATAGTCAAAACAGCTTTATCAAGTAATAGTCAAGCTTACAGTCTTTCATATAATGAATGAAAGGTTTAAAGCTGTTTACCTTGCAGTTATGTTATCATACCTTCCAGCACTACTGCAGAGAGTAACTAATGACTAACAGGTACATAAAATGTTAATAAAGTTATTGCCTAGCATAAATGAATTGTATTAAAAAAAAACACATAAATTCTGTTTAACCGTTGTTCTTTTGGTGTGCCGATATTAACAGGATACATCAATTAACGCTAAAAAGTCTAAAAAATGTTAAAGTAAAATTTTAATGAGTATTAAATAAAAAACAAATTGTAACTAGTATCTACTTATAGTTATGTTATATACACGCTTTTATGTTAAACTATTATTACATATATAAACACACATGTATATATATACATATATGAATATATAGTATTATAATCTTTTCAATTAGGTTTTGCAATCCATACAAAACCAGTGACCTTTAGGTTTTCTTGAAATAACAACACAATAGTAATGATACCAATATAAACAGTGATTGCACTGAATCCACTTTTGAAGTTTACTGGCTGATTGAATTTGTTGACAATGATAACATGGCCAACTATCGGATGAAGTGCTCTTACATCTTACTACAATCTCTGCCCAAGCAGACTCATCAAAATATTGTTCAAGTTCATGTAAGTTCTTTTATCATTAATGATATAAGGTACAGTAGAAGAAAGATCATTAATTGAGATTTTACTACCACTTTGTAATGAATTCTGTGCAATGGAATCTTAGACGAACCAAGTTAAACGAATAAAATCTTTTTCATAAACGCCAAGTTTCTCAAGGGGTTTTGTAACGTTGTAAAAAAGTATTTGTTTTTTTACAGCTGGTCGACCTGGGGGAAAGCGCTGTGGCTTACGTAATATAATGTCAATGTCTTCTAAAATTCGAGTAGTATACCTTTTTTCAACAGGAAGAGTCTCACAAGTGATTGTTGAAAAATTTTTTGATGTAGTTTCAGAGTTTGTTTGTATAGAAATTTGAGGTGAGACAGGCAAAACACATTCCAATGTTGCAGATAAAGAACTTTCAGGAAATATTTCAACATTTGTCTGCAATCTTTCAACATGAAGAGTCTCACATGTGATTGTTGGGGAAATGTTTGATGTAGCTACAGAGTTTGTTTGTAGAGAAACTTGAGGTGATACAGGCAAAACACATTCTAATGTTGCAGAAGAACATTCAGGAAATATTTCAACATTATTCTCAAAATTATTTTCTGAAATGACATCATCTTCAGAATGGTGCTGTTGAACCTGTACAAAATTTAAATAGCATTATGATTACAACTCATGATAGATTGCACATAAAGAAAATAAATGTAAATGATTTATCAGGAGTTTAATGACGTAGTATAATAGATTCTTGCTTCATTATTAAGTGGTTTACAGTTCAACGCCACCTAGAAATATGTTGTTTAACTTGCATTTTTATTTAACGGCATTGGAGATTGTATTTCAGAGTTGAGAGAGATACAATAAAAATTAAATTAAAAAATGCTTCCTTGACTATATTGGCCCCAGCCTTGTGCAAGTATAACTTTAGTTTAACTTGTCAAATAAAATGAATTATTTATTAATTTAATTATGGATTTTATTATTTTTACCTGCAGTTCCCTCTCTCCAGATATGCATTGTTGGCAAACTGATTCCAGCCATTTAATAGCTAAATCAAACTTACTTGGTGTAAATTCAGACAAGATAGATGCCAAAGGCTGCAAATGGCTCAAAGCTGTATTATATCTTTCCTTAACAGTAGAATTGCATAATGCCACTGGTTGAATTGAAAATGTCATGCATGAATTAGATAAATTATCCCCTTGGTTTACATTTACCATTTGATGGGTAGGAACAAACCACCTAAAAATATTTTATTCATTTTAAATATTTTTCAACATACTACTACTATTAATACAAATCAAAACAATTAGTGCCTTTTATGAATAAGATCTAGATCAGATAAGTTCATATTTTTTTCTCTAATAGCAAAGAAAGCATGAGAGCATGGAACTCCATAACCAGTAGCATTATCACATTGGCAAGTCCAGTTATGAAGGGGAAACAAACAATCATTGTATCTAACTTGCAAGCAATTATTTTCCTAAAGATATTTTAATTTCATATTTTGTAACACATTAAAATAAATTAAATCTTACTTATAATTATCTTCATTAATATAAATTTAAAAAAATCATACTTAAACTTTTATTACAAGTTCTATTATGACGAGAATTGCTAAATAAATCAGAGCATTCTTAAAAACAGATTAAAAACCTCTTGTAAACTATATCCTTCCTTTTGACTTAAATTATACTGTTCAACCATATGTTGTAAAATGAACGATGAGATTGTATGAGCATAAAATTTTAAACAGGAAGTTTAGTGTTTATTTTAAGACGTTGATCAAAATCAGCATGTTTTGATTTTTCAAGTTGAACTCTATTTACCTTTATTATTTTGCTAATAAGATTACCTGGTGACATACGCGATGTCAAACCAACATCTTTTAAAGTTCTGTGATACCTATAAATTTATTAAAGTATTATTAAGTAACAATTAATCTTATAACAAAATAGAAAACAAATCATCAAACCGTTCCAATCTGTTATTGGTGTGATTATCAATGTGGAGTAGACCTTTTCTGCGGTAGCCCATTAACATGTCAGCCATCATCAACCAGTTATTTGTTAAGTATGTATAAAACTCTGGAAACGTCTCTTGTATATTTAACAAAGCTTCATTACATGTTTGCTGGTTACCATTTAATAACCTTTTTGTAGCCTGACAGTTAAGATAAGTAAATAATAACAAAAAACAATTAATAATAAAATAAATGTATGATATTACAAATACCATTACTTGTATTAATAGAAGGCACATAATAATCATAGATGTTCCACGACTATTGTCATGGAACATCTATTGTCAAAAAAGTTGACAACTTTCAAAGCATTATTTTAATTTTTATTAATTTTTTGATGACTACTTTTTTAATACAATTAGCTAGAATTATTTAGAACTAACTTTATATAAAGATTCTTTGTCATTACTTATTAAATTACTTTTTTTTATTTTATGTACAAATGCCTTGGATACATGAAATCGACAAAGCATAATACGGTTATCTGGGAAAATAGCCTGCAACACTGAGATTTCAGCTTGAGCCTTATCAATAACAAAAATGGAAGTTAAAAATGTATTAAAACCAGCCCATTCTTGTGATCGTATCAGAAACATTCTGAGATGAGCTTGATCTTCACGATACACTATTGACTGTACTACAGGTCGCCCCATTCCGTGTTGATCTACTACAGCAAGTGTGTATAGAGGCATTGAGAGATTATTTACCTATACATTATAAGTATTATATATAAAAAAAAATTCAGTTCCTAATAAAAAAGCAATGCATTATATTTTGCAAAATAAAAGAGAGAAAAAACCAATTAAGAAAAAGAAAATAAGTTACCTTATAAGTGCCATCCATCATTATTACATCTGGAAATTTTTGCAGGAGCATTATTTGCTCAGTTGTTGTCCAAGTTATGCATTCAACTTGTCCATCTGAACTAGCATCAATGCGATAAAGACTCCCTGGAAATTCAAGTACTCTCTTTATTTCTTCAAGTGCAGAACCTAATTAAATATATATATATATATATATATATATATATATATATATATATATATATATATATATATATATATATATACATATGACCTGAGAATAGCAAGCTTTGGCATAAGACAAAACCTTTTTACAATGGTTTCTAGCAATAGTAAAAAGACGTCTGCTTTCTGGAGAATTGTTTTGCTAAAAGATATTGAAGTAATGGTTTTGATTAGAAATTGCAGCAGCACAATGTTAGGAAAACCATGGAGAAGAATGAGGCTTGACCTAGAATCACTGAGAGGAAATAAAAGATTCCATGCCAACCTGAATCCACAAAGTTATGTAAGAAGCGCATTTGTTAGCAGGAAGACAAAAGATTTCCATCCAAGGGCCATCACAAAGAAAATCACAAAAAGAGTCCTAGCCAGCTATGTGGTAGTTGTAAGAGGTACAATGGTAGGGGGATTCTGATGATGAAGAATGAGATATATAAAGAGAATAGTTTTAGAGAGATCAAACCATGATCAAAAGCACCTAGGGTTGATAGGGTGAAAAGGGTGCTTTTGATCATGGTTTGATCTCTCTAAAGACTGACTAGGATCAGAACAACAATAACGACAAAAAGATATTTATTTTCCTCAAAATTTACAATCATATAATTACAGTAATATATTAATAATAACAATAGTAATAATAATAATAATAATAATAAGAATGTTGAAGGAACGATTTTTGAATTGATAGGAACGATTTCCGAAAGACATAGGAACGATTATTGAAAAGCGTAGGAACGATTTTTGAATAGGAACGATTATTGAAAGGCGTAGGAACGATTTTTGAGTACGCGCATTGTAAAGCCGTATGGGCTCTTTGATTTGTTTATATTTTTGCGTAACTAAATTATATTTGGTAATTCAACGTAATAATCGAAGAAAATTCTGACAAGTTTTAATTTTTAAAGCATTAAAGCCTTGGTAAATTAACATTTAATAATGTATTCAAATGTAAGTAATGATGCTCTTTAATATTTAAAATAATTTACTATTGTTATTTTTGTTTTTATATATATACCTTGGACTTTACCTTAGACCATAGTTTAAGGAATTGTTAAAGGTATATATAGACTATATTATAGTCTAAGGTATATACCTTAGTACAAAGGTACTAAAGCTTATTAGGTCTTTTTTTAGTAACTTAACTTTATTATGAAAAGGTTTTATTAATTATTTATTATATATCTACTATTATTTGCAAACTTAACATTGTATAATTTACGCAAAAGCACTAGGAAAAGGATTTAAATTATGATGTATTTTTTAAAATAAAGAAATAGCTCAGCTAAGTTAAAGCAAAATTTTAAATAGTCTCATAGGTTTTATGCTATCATTAATAAAAAAAAAGTTTGTGCTACTATGGGTAAAAAAAAATATAATATAGTTATGTGGGATAAAATTTTTAAAATTTTTTAGTAAATTTTTGACATAGATTTGTTGAAACAACTGTGACTAAATTATGGATTTTTCTTAACTTAAAATTTCATAACTTTGTCAATTCTTATCAACTAAATTTTGTAATCTTATTATCTTCAATGAGAAAAATATGTCAACTCAAATTTGTTTTCTTATTCTCTTCTGTGGGATAAATAATTTTTTCAAGCAAAAAATAACTGTTATTTATCTTAATATTAGCATTATATTTAAATTTTAATTGCTTACCATTTATTTTAAATGTCTTTGACAAATACGCTTATTGTCTTATTATTATTTTATTTTTTTTCAGGTCTCTTTTTTTTGTCCTTAAAGGGTTTAATAGTTTAATGCATTTGTGCCATAAACTGCAGATGTCAAAGGTTTTATGTTAAGTAGTTTTTCAAAATAACTCACTATTGTTTATAATTATAAAAGTATATACCTATTCTTAACACTTCCAGTGCTGTTGGCTGTTCAATCAATATTTATTTATGGAGGTAGTGCAAAAGTGAAAATTAAATAATTTTTAGCTTTACCATTAAAAAAACAACTTCTTTTTGGGTCACAAAACACAATAAAAAAATGGTAACTTGGAATTAAAATAAAAACAAAAAAAAAACAAAAAAAAAAAACAACAACTGATAAATTTAGTTATAGATATTAGTCTATTATTGACTTTTCTTAAGACAATGAATAACAAGTATTTTATATGACCTATACCAAATACAGATATAAAAAATATAGATATCTAAACACAAATAACTCATTGTTAAACTATAACAATTGACAATCCTAGATTTATCTATAGGCAGACATCTAAACAAGCTGTGGTTAAATTATGGCAACTAAATAATATATGCATGATTAGGATAAAATCTAGTGAAATGAAAAAGTGACATGAAAAAATTCTGCACCTTTTTGAAATAGGGTTCCAAAAAGCAATTTGGCCTAGGGCCCCAATGGGAGTAAATCCGGCCTTGACAATAGAATAAGTTTTACTAAAAAATCAAACAATAAGTTACATGTCAATAATTCAGTCAATCTGTTATTGAAATGTCAAAAAAATCATTAAAGTTCTCAGATTAATGACTAATTTAAATTATTAGGTTATGGACAAATTTAGTTAAAAATTTACCTTATTTAAATAATGTGTAAGGAATACACTTAATAAGATAAGGATAAATGAATACTTAACTTTTACTATATTTCAAATAATATTTCTGATGTTTTCAATTATTAAAGATTTGTTACAATTATTTACAATAAAATAAGTAATAAAAAATAAAAAATTGCATTTATTTACTACTTGATAGCAATAATTTAATTGTTGAAAAATCTTTTATTTCTTCTTATTAAGTCAAACTTGTGTGGTAACAACATAAACAAATGTGCCCTCCCCTGGTTTAATTTGGGTTGGTTTTGCCAAAAATATATACCCATATAGAGCATTCTAAAAATGTACTTGCGCATCCAAATTTTTGGATGAAATTTGGCATGCGGCAAGAAAATTTTTTTTTTAACAGTTATAAACTGTTTTAAAAAAATTAACTAACATACCTTAGCTAAAACCTTGAGGCTTAATCAACAACAAGTTTTTAAAACACTAAAGTTTATAAAAAGTTTAACAATTATAAAAAAACAAGACCCAGAAAAAAGTTTAACTATTCTTCTTTTTAAATAATATTTAAGTTGATATCAAATTCTAAAAACTAAAGACCACTAAACTCGTTAAAAAACATGACACTGATTTAGGCAGAAAAAAAACGTTTCCATAAAAGTTGAAATAATGCATACCTAATAATAGCATATAATTTAAATAACAACAATGTTGTTGTCAATATATGTCCTTATCTCACAAACAGGTATTTATTTGCTAATTGTTTATTTCAAGTAAAATAAATTGACAACAACAATGCTATTTTTTTTAAATAGTACATTTTAAAATTTTTAATTCCAAAATCTGTTTTTAAAATTAGCATTGAAATATATTTAGAAGTTATATAGTAGTAATATATATATTGAGGAAAAAGTTAGACTTGACTTTATAAAAATATCACTGAAATTTTGACAGTTGTTGTTGTTGCTATATATATAGGGAAGAAAGTGGGTACAAAGGTTTCTGAAAATATAAATTCTGTTTTCCTACTATGCAATGAAATTGTTTATTTTATAAACAAAAACCTTGCTTTATAGAGAAGAAATCATGAAGTCAATATATTAACAGAGGAATTAAAATATTTTCGTGCTTGTAGTCAGGAAAACGAATTTAAAAAAGTTTTTATTGATAATGTAATAGGTTAGTTAGATCTTTTATTTTATTTTAAATTTTGACAAAAGTTTTATGATCAAAATTTTTGTTGTTGTTGTTTAAATTTAAGTTAAATGCTGATTTAGGATATGGAGTTTTCACTATACGAGAGTTTAAAGCTGGCGATCCTTTGTTAGAGTATAAAGGAAATCTTATAACAAGAAAAGAAGCTAAAGAATTAAGCAAAAGTTATTCTGCAAAAAATAAAGGATGCTTTATTTTTGATGTTTACTGGAACAATAAAAATATGAGGTATCTTTTATAGCTTAATAGTAAATAAATAATGTAAATAAAAAAAAATATGCTACTGTTTAAACCTAGTTAGTCCTTAAAAATGTGTACTGATAAGTTTGAAACATTTATATAGTTTTTTCTTGATATTTTAGACAAACTTCAACATTAAGATGGTACCCCAAAAAATATATTAAAATCTGATTGGAACTAGAGCACACTTTCATTTTTACAACATAAATACGTAATTTTCAAAAGTTCTATCAAACTTGAAAATCTTTGCCTCGATTACCCCCAAAAAATTGAAAATAATTGAATTTTTGTGAAGTAATCACTCAAAATCTACTAGTTATTTTAACATGAAATTTGGAACATTTTTGAATTATGGAAATATAATTCATTTGAAGAGAATAAATGAAAAAAAATGAATATTTTAGAAGTTATGCATGAAACACTAAAAAGTAAGCGAGCTAAACAACACTAATATAACAAAATTTCAAGATCTAAAATGCTTTGAAAAAAAATCTTTTCTCAAATGAATTTTTATAATATGAAGAACAATCTGTGAAAATTTCAGCACTTTTGCATAATTATTTAAAAAGTTCTCATTTGGCAAATTTTGTAAACTAGTGGAAAAGTATATTTTGAGATTTAGTGATATAAAAATTAAAATTACTCAAAAAGCATAAAAAAATTATAATTTAAAATCCTCCAGGTTCATATGATATTTTTTCAGTTTTCTTAACATTTGTTTGAGTATCCTTTTTTAATACTTTTTTTTTTTTTTTTTTTTTTTTTTTTTGATACTTAGGTTCTAAATATAATTTTTATTTCAGTTTTTTTTCCAGTTTTTGTAGGATTGGTTTATTTTCTAATTTTTTCAATTAATTTCAATTTGTTCTTACGATTCAATAATTTAACTTCTTGTTTCATTTTCTAATTCAGTTATTATTTTACTTCTATCAAATGTTTCAGCAATTTTTTAAAAGGTATAACTTATTAAGTATCAATATAAAAGTTCCAAGACTAGATAAAGTATGGCAATTTGGCAAAATAAAAAATGGCAACGAGGTAAATGGTAAAATATATTGTTGCAGTGTATTAAAACACTTTCTTTTTTGAGAAAATTTTTCAACAAGAGTTGTGCAAAATGTTCCTTTATTATTCTTGTCCTTTACTTAGATTTATACAACATGGATTATACAACAAGATTTTTTATTGATTATACATTTTTATTGATTATACATGGATTATACAATAAGATTTTTTTACAATAAATTCAAGGTTCATTTTTATGTCCTTAAATGTATATATTCAGTATTCACTATTCATACAAGATTTATACAACATGGATTATACAACAAGATTTTTAAAATAGAGAACTTTTGATGTTTTGCTGTTGTTCATATTGGGAAAAATGAGGTTTGCAATAGTTTGCCGACCTGTTAGAGGTCGGCATCAAGTTAGCAAATAAAATTGATAGAAAGGTTATACCATAAAACATAGAAACAGGGTTGGCAATTTTTTGCTGATCTTATACATTTCTAGTTCAGCATTGCCAAATGCTAACTCTAATTCTAAGAGCTATCTTTCTTTAGCATTGATGCTACACAATCAACATGCATGGCTAAATTTATTAACGACTCTCCAGATAAATATGCCAATTGTCAACCCAAGACATGCGTTGTAAATGGAATACCCCATCTTTTGTTATATGCAAAAAAGGATATTGCTAAAGACTCAGAACTTAGATATAACTATGGGGACAGTTCTAATCAACAATGGAGAAAATTGGTAAATTTATTTACTTGTTTTTTTTTTTCTTTTCAATATTTTTATATAAAGTAATTTGTTTATGAAGTGATAAATTAAATATTTTAGAAATTAATAGTTTTGTAAAGTATTATTGCAATTTTAAATTAAAAAAAAAATTCTAGGCAAAGTATCAGGAACCATTTACTATGAGTGAAGTTAATGCATATCTACGAGGACAGGTAACTGTTCAATTCTACTAGAAACATTGTAATTTTTTTAAATTTAAGTTTTCTTTTTTAAATTTAAGTTTGTTCCTGATATGGAAGGTTTTAAAATTCTACATAGAAGGATATATGTGATTATTTTTTAGAAAATATTTATTTACATTATATTTCTTTTTAAATTTTTGTATTAAAGCCTTTGCAGAAAAATCGAATTCTAACAGCATCAATGGCAAGTTTTTTTCTTTATATACAATTTTTACTTCCAGTTTTATAAAATTACACTGAGAGTTAACACACAAAATTTGCTATTAACAGTGATCTATTCCTATCATCTGGTTTTTTATCACAAAACTTATACTGAAAATCCTTTGAACAAAATTTGCCAAAGATAAACTAAAAAATGAAGTAAAAATGCTAAATTTTATCTTTAAAATGTTTTAAGATGATCTAAAAGCTGTTTTTGAAATAAATAAAGCTAAAGATTTTTTTCGTCAATAAAATAGATTTTTCATATAAAATAGTTTTATTTTATTTAAGTGATATAATTGTTCAAAATTAAATTAGTTTTGATCAAGCTTAATCACGTTTTTTATCTTTACCAAAAATTTTTCGATAAAGCCCAAAGCACTTCAGTTAATTTTAATATAATTTTGCTTATTTAAACTTTGATTGACTTATCTAGACTTAGTTTTGCTTATCCTTACTTTAATCCATTTTTGAAAAAGAAATTAAATACAACTAACAAAAATTATAAATGTAAAAAATTGAGCTTCAATCTGCATGTCATAAATGAATGTCATCTACTGTGCATCCAGCAATTACTTTATCAAAAATGTTAAATCAAAGTACTATATATTTGTTTCATATAAAACAAATCAGAATAAATAAAAATCAATGTGATAAAATTATGAAAAAATTATTGATGCACTGTTTATATCAATTTTTGTGGGAAGTGTATTCTATAATAATTTTTCAGATATTTATACAAATTATATGATAATTTACTGTAGTTAATAGAAAATGATTAAATTATAATTATACAAGTAAGAATTATATTTGATTTTCAAATAAATATGTGTTATTTAAATACTGTTTTATTTTTAGTTGTTTTCATCATTTAATAATAAAAAGTCTGAGTTGAAAAAGGTTTGGTTTATTTGTATTTAAAGAAATTATTTTTTTATTCTTTATTGCTTTAAAAGTTTATTTACTATTTATGTTTTTTCTTAGGTTTAGTTCATTCTTTCAGATGTAATTAAAATGATTGTTAGAACTTGGTATATTTCCACTCTGTAGAAAATTATAGAGTCACTCAAACTAGATCTAAGGCCAGGTAAATAAAAAAAAGCAATTGTATTTTCTTAGTAATTGGTCAGCTTTATGTGAATAAATTCTTTAGCAATTTTGCTCATACTTTTATTCACATAGCTTTACGTGAATAAAATTTAAGCAAATTTGCTAATTTTTTTTTTTTCTTGTGGAGATAAACAGTAACTTCAAAAACTCTAATTAAAATCAATTGCTTTTTTTTATATGCCCTGTCTCTATTCTCATGTCCATCCTTTTTTTTGATAAAATTTATCTTTTTTTTGGCTATACCAATTTGTATTGGTTGCAATTCAAACCAAAATTTGTAAACTTTTCTAGCTCTTATGATATATGTATAATTTTTACTCAATTCAGAAACAGTAGTTTCAGCTGGTGCAAGAACTTCAAAAAATTTTTTTCAGCGCAAGTATATCATTTTTTTAAAATTGATACACTTATTATATAGCTATAAGTCAAATTTGTATTTTACAAAAGCTTTTAAAAGTTACCTATTTAACATTACTCTCTAATTTTGATTTTCTTTCTTTTTCAAGAACATGATTAAAATGTCTAAAACATGTGTTGAAACAAAAATAAGTTTTACAGACATTTAAAACACTTTTTTTTTTGGAATTTAAATTCGTTTCCAACAAGGCTGCAAAAAACCTCTTATATATAAGAGGTTTTATTATAAGGCTATCAAAAAACCTCTGTTGGGAGTTTTTTCAAAAAACCTCTGTTGGGAGTTACTAGAATAACAAAGGATAGATTTAAAGAGCAGGGAAACAATTGACAGAAGACTTGAAAAGTTTTAGGTTGTATGAATCTGGACAGATACAGTAAAAGAAGGTGTTTTATACCGATTTGGTAAAAAAATGTTTAAATAATTATTATTATTATTGTAATTCTTATATTTAAAAAAATTCCTAATGCATTTTTGTTTGTTATTTTAAGGTTTATGTTTTGTTAAGAAAGTTATCTATAACTATAAAATTGCTAAAAAGCAGTTACTCATACTCAAAATTGATTATTGACTTATTTTGTATATTTTTATATTTTGTATCTTTTAAAGCTCTTATTTTTCTAATTGAATTTTAATGTTTTTATTTTATCCAATGTTTCGAAACAAAAGTTATTTACTTGGGATATGATTTAATTTGTTTTAAGTTTTTAATATTTTAATACTAACCTTATCTAAGTATTTTGTTAAATTAATATTTTGTTAATTTTTATAAGGTTTTTTTTGACCTTTAGGATTTAAATAGTTGCATTTTGTCATCTAATCAAATGAAAATCAATAATTTCAAAAAATGGTAAGGAAATATTTATAATGAATATTAAATCTAATGTTCTGTTTAATAAATTTAAATGTTGAGTTAATAGGTTATTTAATGAATAATAATATTCAAAAAATTTTAAAATTCCTATATAAATTCTAGTAAGGAAGATTTACCTGAAAAAAGTAATAAAGATACAATTTCAGGAGGCTTATCACAAGCATTGTAAGTTAACTGTTTTTTTGGTTATATGTTTTTTTTTTAACTTTTTACCTTGATTAGTGCATATCAATTAAGTGTTTTTAATTTTGGTTTGTAGTGGTTTTGAGAAGTGTACTGAGTTAGAAGAACAATATAATCAAGCATTAAAGTATGGAATAACCACATTATAATTAGTTTTGTAAACTTTTTAACAAAAACAAATATTTGTGTATTTATTTAATATTTCTGTTTATAGTAAGTCCTATTTAAGTTTCAGCAATGAAGATATTTTATTACCAGATGAAACATTTTTAAAAAACTCATCTCAGATATAGTAAGTTATTTAGTTTTTGCACAATTAATTTGGATTTAAAATTAAAAAATGACTCATTCTTAAACTTTGTCCAGATTTGTGCTTATTAATTAAATGTTTTTTAAATTTTGGTTTGTAGTAGTTTAGAAGAAAGTGCTTGTGAAGATAACTCTGAAAATTTGTATTCAAATTCAGTTAACAGGTTAGAGTTGTTTTGATCACAAAAGCAAAGTTGAATTTTTTATTTGTTTTTTCCAAATTATTAAATTTAAACTTTAAACTTAATTTTTAGTAAAAAAGTTTCACCTCGAATGATAGTTGCTGCCAGATGCTTGACAGATATATCAAAAAGAAAGTAAGTTAAGGTTTCTATTCTAGTAACACTTTTCCAGTTTATTTAGTTTTTCTTTGTAAGTTGATGCTTCTTGTTTTTTAAAACAAATACCATTTTGAAAAACGTTTCAAATTTAAAAGTAGATTGATGTCATTTAGGTATTATGAATAAATCTTTTTCTAAAATTGAGATAATTTTCTTTATAGTGATTCTGAAACCAATATCTCTATGTTCACTAGTGAAACTTCACTCACAAGGTAAGTTCATTGCTTAGTTATAATATTATTTGTTGAAGCAAACAGTAAAAAAAGGAAATAAGTTACTTTTAATACAAACATCACCATGAAATTTTTTTTTTTTGCTTTTTATTTTGTTGACAAATTTTGTTTTACAACCAATTGTTTTTAATTTCTATTACATTAAAACTGTTACATTTTGATTAACTTTTTTGTGGTAAGTTGATTTGTAATTTCTTATTTTTTAAACAGCAAATATTATTTTAAAAAAGAATTTTGAATTTTCTTTCAAGATAGAATAATGTTAGTTTGTATAAGTAAGTCATTTTTTAAATTGTATTATTGCTTTTTATATTGGTTTATAGTGATTCTATAGCAATAATTGCCATATAAATTCTAGCAATGAAGACTTACCTGGAAGAAGTAATAAAGATGCAGTTTCAGGAAGCTTATCACAAGTATTGTAAGTTTATTTAGTTTTATGGTTTGGTTTTGTTTTTCAATGAAAAAGATTATCTTTAAACTTTTTACCTTGATTAGTGCATATCAATTAAGTGTTTTTAATTTTGGTTTGTAGTGGTTTTGAGAAGTGTACTGAGTTAGAAGAACAATATAATCAAGCATTAAAGTATGGAATAACCACATTATAATTAGTTTTGTAAACTTTTTAACAAAAACAAATATTTGTGTATTTATTTAATATTTCTGTTTATAGTAAGTCCTATTTAAGTTTCAGCAATGAAGATATTTTATTACCAGATGAAACATTTTTAAAAAACTCATCTCAGATATAGTAAGTTATTTAGTTTTTGCACAATTAATTTGGATTTAAAATTAAAAAATGACTCATTCTTAAACTTTGTCCAGATTTGTGCTTATTAATTAAATGTTTTTTAAATTTTGGTTTGTAGTAGTTTAGAAGAAAGTGCTTGTGAAGATAACTCTGAAAATTTGTATTCAAATTCAGTTAACAGGTTAGAGTTGTTTTGATCACAAAAGC